GAATATTTGACATCTTAAAAAAAAACTTCAGCAATGCAACAGAGTAAAGAAGGAGAAAAACGACATCCATGCACCCAGATTTTAAACTCAGTTCACTCCAAAGGGCCTGCTTAAAAGAACTGTGTTCACCATCTTCTGAAAGGCCAGTAATGAGGGGCCTGACTGGACCTCATGGAACGGAATTCCTGAACCTGGGGGTCACAATGGCAAAAGCTCTCTTCTCTGTTACATCACATCCCTTAAGGCAGGTATGCAGAGAAGAGCAGCACCTTAGACTATGGACAAATTCATACAGGTTCAAATAAGGCAAACCATAGAAGAGAACTTTAACACAAACAAAATGGTCTTAGGTGCTGATGGTTGTGGATATTTCTGGCGTTCCTGTTCCCCCAGCAATCCCTTTTGTCTCCGTTGAACTAATAACTCCCTCTTTGGCAAAAGGCAGGATGGTGATTCCCCCCCCTCCACCTGCATGGCTGTTAGTCCATGTAGGTACCACAACCCTGAGAATCAAGTTTTCTGGAGGTTGAGGGGAGGAGATGTGGAAAAGGTCTGTGACTGCCAGTGACTTCTGCTGATGGATTTCTGGGTCCAACTGAAGAATGGCTTGGCGGAGAAGGCAAAGACCAGTATTCTATTTCCAAAAAGTATTTTTAGAGGGACAGCCTTTCTTATTTCCTAGGAAGAGGTTAATCTTTACAGCAATGTGGTGCTGCAGGGAATCTGTCTTGATTCCCTTTGCTGACTGTGTGATCTTTCTGTTGTATTGCTGAACTACTTAAAAAAATAACAGTAGAGGGAGCTGCCTTGAACTGAGTTTTAGCATTGGTAATTTAATAGCAAATGTTGTCTGTTTTGACTGAGAATGAGTCACGTCCCAGAGGGTTATTTTTTTTTTTTTTTTGAGCCATGGTACCACAGAATTTTTAATTAACAAGAATTAACCATGGAAAGCATGTGTTCTCTCAGTGAACCACATCCCCACTCTGGCAAGAGGTCATACTGTAGATGGAAGGTTAAAGCTTACCATTAGAAGATTAATTATTAAGCATTATTTGTCATCTGTAATGAAAAAAATGAAAAACTTACATTGCTTTAACAAAGTGAGAACGTTGAGGAATCCATCTGGGCTTCAAGAGTGTTTTCTTGATATGCTCTAAAACTTGGGGATTTAAAATAGTATGTCAAGATTTGGGTGTCCTTTTAAACTCTGGCTTCCTGTACTGTGGGCAAAGATAATTTCTATAGCTGATACCGAGGTTTGAATGGAATTTTGAATACATTGTGAAATTCCTCTCCCATTTTTTATCTCCTTGACTGAGCACCGACCTCCCCCCCTCCACTACAGTAGCTTCCCAGGTATCTCTCTTTGAAAAATAATTGCGTTCAGACACACATACTTGCAGACATATTTGCAAAGTCTGACAAACCACCTGGAGCCAGGTTGAATCTAAGCCAGTATAGTAATGATATGATTTATACTTGAATCCAGTTGTGCTTCTGTTAAATCAGTTCAGTCCAAATTGGGTTTGTCTTCAGATCAGCAGATGTTTCACAACTCTGTGTTTATTCGTGAGTTGTTGATTGAACACACCAGTACTGGATTTCTTTCTTAAATCTCTTTATTTTGTGGAGCAAATTCTTTAGAAGATCTCAAATTCCTGTCTGAATTCATATTTAGGTTTCATTTTCCCATGTGAAAGATCCAACATTACTGGTTCTCGCTTGGGCATTTTGTCACTGTAGGATAGCCTTAAAATCAGCAAAACATAAAACCCCACACAATCTGTTGAGGAGAATTATTGTCTTGTAGCACACTGTAAAATAGGCTGGCTCTTTTTTGTTTTTAATCAGCCATTTATTTTACACAGGAAATAATCTGAACCTTGGATCTTGAATTCTGGGCAATAGGGATAGGCAGGGCACAACCCCCCCAAAATGGTTTGATTTGGGGCTGCTCCCAAACTGAACCAACCCCAAAGGCCCCACCCAAACCAAGGTGGTCTGGTGAATTCGGTTCCCCCTTTTCCCAGCCATGGTGAGCCACCTCCAGGAGAACGGGGAGCAGGGCTTCAACCTTTCTCCTGGTCATGGCTCGCTGAGGCCAGGAGAAAGGAGGGGTACATCTGGGAAGGGTTAAATGGCTGGCAGTCTTGGCGGGTCCAGCAGTCAGCTCTTAGGTTTAAATAGCTGCCATCCATCCATTTAAGCCTAACAGCTAACTGGCAGACCCCCTGTCGCTCAGCTGTAAGGTTTAAATGGTTGGCCCCAAACAGCCAAACAGCCACAAATCCAGTAAATGTTTGAGGAAGGCACCTCACTAGGGATCTGTCCTCACTTACTCTGCTCACCAACTCCATATCTGTGCTTGGACTACTTCATAGGTGCTGTGCCCCATGAACTAATGCCAAAAGAGGCATGTGGTCCCATTTCTTTCTCATATAATTGTAAGTACATTTTGTATAAGTGTAATTACATTTTGAGAACAAATAACTATTCTTTAAAAGAAATCAGGTAGAACACCTAAATGTAAAAACAAACAGCATTGGGATTTTAATTAGTTTTATTAGGAAATTAGCAAATTATTACACACATAATTTCCATCAAGCAGTGTTTTTGGACACCACTCCAAATGTAATGGTTTGAAGGGGGCATGCAACTCAGTAGCATTAGTTCCTTGTGGGATAACAGAAAGTGGAAGTTCCCAGCTAATACAATGCTTACTTCCCATAGTTATTTCTTTTCATATCCTGCAATGTATGGTCCAAAACTTCTAATACATCCTTGCGAGACATGGTACACTGATGTATTTAATGGCAGTTGCAGCTGGAGGAAAATGTATATGCCTTAGGCACTTCTACTTCATTTCCTTCACAAACTACCCAAAGAGGTCAACTTCTTCTCCAACTGTGTAGTTGTTGCTTCACTTCTGCTTTCAGGAAGGCTTTGGTCTTGGCAGAAGTATGTAAGAATAGATGCCTGGAAGAGTTTCAGTGGTAGCCAGGACAACTGTTGATTAAGGAGGCAATCTTGGGGGAAGGCTGTATCAGGGGAAGTCCTCGACCTTTATGACCTATTATTGGCCCTCCAGAGGAAGTGGTTGGTCATTGTGTGAGATGGGATGCTAAACTAGATGGACCACTGGTCTGATTCAGCATGGCTCTTCTTATGTTCTTATGTAGGACACAAGACCTGTTCACAAATTACAGTGAATGCATCTACAATCCATATACAGCATGCATTTGATACTAGGAATGGGCACGAGCCCAAAACTTCCAGTTCAAAAGGGTTCCCAAACTGAACCCTGAACTGAACAAAAAAATGCCCAAACTGAACTGGCCAGTTCGGATCCCCCTTTCTCCCAACCACAGTAAGCTGTGGACAGGAGAATGGGGTGGGGGCTTGCCCGGGAAGGCTTACGTGACTGGCAGTCATTTAACCTGTCTATTTTGCTTCCCCCGCTTTGAAGCAGGGGGGGATGAAATGAAGCGCTTAAATGGCTGGCAGCCATTTAAACCTAACATTGCAGCTGGTCCACCCATCAGCTGTGAGGCTTAAATGGCTGCGAGCCATTAAACCCATCCGTTTTGCTTCCCCCTGCTTCAAAGCAGGTTTAAATGACTGCCAGCCATTTCAGTGCTCTGTTTTGTTTCCCTCCACTTCAAAGCTCACAGTCATTTCAGCTGAACAACAGTCCAGTAAATGTTCAGGGAAGGCGCCTTCTCTGAACATTGGTTTGAAGACTCTGAAGCAGGCCAAGTTTGTGCCAAATTTTGTCTCATGAACCAGTTCATGCCCATCCCTACTTGATACTTCTTTATATGTGTTTTGAGTAATTCTCAGGTTACATTCAACTCTTGTACAGCCAAATGTGTTCTTCAAACTTCATATATATCCAGGTACTGGACCCAGTTTCATTTGTAAAGTGAATGCACATTGGCTTTTCTCACCTACAGGTGTGCATGCATACAGACAGGATGGATGTGCATTCAGTGTAACTTGAACATGGCTGCTATCACAGAGAAAATAGTGGTTTTTGAAGCATAGCTCATAGAGCTTCTTAAGTAAACCACCTCTGCTTTGTAAAGCGAGGGACATGCTCCAACCTCCCTGTCATTGCTGCCGCCACCTTCATGGCTTATAGAGAATTAACCTTTGCTTCTTTTGCAGAGCACAGGACAGGGATGTTCCTGAGATAGAGCCAGGATGTTATAATTCCCTTCATTTTTGGCCCTACCGCTCCCACCATTCTGAAGCTGGTGGCCAAATTTTGAGACTCCTCACTTTCTTTTCTGATGAGTTATGCCTGCTACAAAGGGGCAGGTGGACCAGTAGTGACACATATTATTTTATTATTAATTGGGAAATAAATTTTTGTTGGTGCTGAGGTCAACAATAACAACTAGTGTTTCCTTCCAGAGAAGTGCTGTGTCATGCTGGGAAAATGCCATATCGGGTGCTGGCAGGGGTTGCATGTTAGAATGATCCTCTGTATAGGATAACAGGCACTCTAGGGAGAAGGTTAGGGTTGATGTTTCATTATTTATAAGGATAGGTGGCTGTTACAAAACTTGGCAGATGCTTAGAGCTACCAACAACCAGGAATATGCTACAAAGAGAGCCTGTAACTCTCACTCACAATAAACTAGTAGCTGAAATAAGAGTGATCCCTCCTACTTTGTTTTTTTAGTTACCTAGCTCCTGTTCTTTCCCCCATTTTTTCCAGTGATTGTATTCCCTACTCCACCCAGGTCTTGATTTAACCAGGGAGATGAAATGCATCATCTCATCTCAAAACATTCTCTTTTCCTCCTTGAGCCTATTAAAAAGAGCTTCTTTTTAGTTTAGAAAATGTGTTTTCACTTGAAACTAACGTGTTTCGGCTCTTCTTGTCCCGACATGAAAGACTGAATGCGTTTTCAGTAACATTTAATACTTGACTGTAGGACGTCCTGTGGTACTAGGTGCTTGCTAATCATGGTGCTTGCTTGTTCCAACAGTTGAAGAAATAGTGAAAGAGCTGGAAAACAATGAGAGGACTCGAGCACAGCTTGAATCCAAGATGGCTGGGAAAGATGTAAGTTGATAAGCTTCAACGTCGTAAAGAGGAATAGGTATCTTTTATTCCATTTTCACCTCAGTAGTAGTCTGCTGAAACTATGCATGGCTTCAAAGTTAATTATCATGGCACCTTCCAGTTTTCTGTAATGAAAACATTAAAGCAAATAAAGAACAATCTGTACCTTAACTTTGGACTGACTGCTCAGAATGACTGTATTTAGATTGCAGAACGTCCTGTTGAACTTGAGGGATGAAGGCTACTTCTGTGTCATATGCTGAAGTTAAGAAGGTGCATATGCTGAAGTTAAGACTCCTGTCACATTTACAGTTTGTGCAGTGCCTAGCTGTCAAAGCCAGGAGTCCCCCATGTGGTGTCTGTGGATAGCACAGTGTCTGCTGCCACCTTTCCTGGGGGCAGCCAAGTGTTTTTAGAAAGTGAAGGGGAGCATGTGGGACTTTTGCCCAGCAGGGATTCTGATTGGCCATTGGAGATCTGATTGGCCGTACAGATTTAAAAAATAATTACTTTAGCAGCAGCTGCCACCACGGTATAAGGATCTTCATTGTGTGACTCAAGGTAAGCTGTGTGTGTGCGAGGAAATATTTTTAAACAGTGTGTTCATTTTAAAAGGCACCCTGTTGAGTAGATCTTCTGACTGAACTGTTGAAGACTTACTATTAGAGCTATGTATGACTTTACTCTAGGCTTGCCAACTCCCCTGTTAGGGTGGGGGTCCCCAGATTTGAGATCCCCCACCCCCGCTTTTTAAGAATTGGCCGGTGGGGGGTTGCTCTAGCAGCAGCCATAGAGTTGAAAACTTGAGCGTCCCAGGTCTCTGACCGTCGGTGGGCATGTCTGCCTTCAAAGAGTGTAGTCCGCTACTCGCCTCGCCTCCTTAGCGCTGCCCACTCCTGGCATCCCTCCTTTGGTGGGCAATCTGCTTGTGTGCTGCCTGCATTCCTCCCAAGCCGACACTGGCAGACCGAGGTGAGTCCCAAGCAGCAGGCAACCATCCCTTCCTCCTTGCTGAGTGCCACCCCGCCCCCCATGCTGGCGTGCCAGAAGAAAGGCGTGGATGCAGTGCTGGAGGACTCCAAGGCAGCTTCGGCTGTGTCACTGGGCCCACCAGCCCAGCCTCCCAAGAGCAGCAAGGGAAGGGAGAGAGAGAGAGAGCACCCACCCGAAGGAAGGGAGCTGCCAGGACAGCCCATAAGCCCTGGGTTCCCACCCAACAGCTGCTCTGCAAAAGCACCCGAGAGAGAGGGAGGGAGGGAAGGGGCCAGCTGGAGCTTCTTCTGTCCACTCCAGCACTCCACCTAGATGGCATCCCTGATGAATATACAGTAGAGGTGAAGAATAGATTCAAGGGTCTAGATTTGATAGATAGAGTGCCTGAAGAACTATGGGTGGAGGTTCGTGACATTGTACAGGAGGCAGCAATCACCACCATCCCAAAGAAAAAGAAATGCAAGAAAGCAAAGTGGCTGTCTGATGAGGCTTTACAAATAGCAGAGGAAAGAAGGAAAGCGAAAAGGAAAGATTTACCCAACTGAATGCAGATTTCCAGAGAACAGCAAGAAGAGATAAGGAGGCCTTCCTGAATGAACAGTGCAAAGTAATAGAGGAAAACAATAGAATGGGAAGGACTAGAGATCTCTTCAAGAAAATTGGAGAAATCAAGGGAGCGTTCCATGCAAAGCTGGCCATGATAAAGGACAAAAACGGTAGGGACCTAACAGAGGCAGAAGAGATTAGGAAAAGATGGCAAGAATACACAGAAGAACTATACAAGAAAGACCTTGATGTCCTTGACAACCAGCAAATTTGGAAAACGCAACAGTGGCCACAGGATTGGAAAAGGTCAGTATACATTCCAATCCCAAAGAAGGGCAATGCCAAGGAATGTTCAAACTATCGCACAATTGCACTCATATCACACGCTAGCAAGGTCATGCTCAAGATCCTACAAGCTAGGCTTCAACAGTACGTGGATAGAGAACTGCCAGAAGTACAAGCTGGGTTTCGAAGAGGTAGAGGAACTAGAGATCAAATTGCCAACATTCGCTGGATTATGGAGAAAGCAAGAGAGTACATCTACTTCTGCTTCATTGACTATGCTAAAGCCTTTGACTGTGTGGATCACAACAAACTATGGCAGGTCCTTAAAGAGATGAGAGTACCAGACCACCTCAGATGTCTCTTGAGAAACCTGTATAAGGGTCAAGAAGCGACAGTTAGAACCGGATATGGAACGACTGATTGGTTTAGCATAGGAAAAGGAGTACGACAAGGATGTATATTGTCACCTTGCTTATTTAATATATATGCAGAGTACATCATGCGAAATGCTGGCCTGGATGAATCACAAGCGGGAATTAAGATTGCTGGGGAAAAGATCAACAACCTCAGATATGCAGACAATATCACTCTAATGGCAGAAAGTGAAGAGGACCTTAAGAGCCTCTTGCTCAGGGTAAAAGAGGAGAGTGCAAAAGTGGGCTTGAAGCTCAACATAAAAAAAAAACTCTAAGATCATGGCATCACTCCTTGGCAAATAGAAGGGGAAGTCGTGGAAGTAGTGACAGACTTCACGTTCCTGGGATCCCAGATCACCGCAGACTGTGACAGCAGCCATGAAATTAAAAGACACCTGCTCCTTGGGAGGAAAGCGATGGCGAACCTAAACAGCATGATAAAAAGTAGAGACATCACCCTGCCAACAAAAGTTTGCATGGTCAAAGCAATGGTATTCCCAGTAGTCATTTATGGCTGCGAGAGTTGGGCTATAAGGAAGGCCGAGCGCCGAAGAATAGATTCTTTTGAACTATGGTGCTGGAGAAGACTCTTGAGAGTCCCTTGGACTGCAAGAAGATCAAATCAGTCAATCCTAAAAGAAATCAACCCTGACTGTTCCCTGGAAGGCCAGATAATGAAACTGAAGCTCAAATACTTTGGCTACCAAATGAGAAGGGAGCTCTCCCTGGAGAAGACCTTGATGCTGGGAAAGATTGAAGGGCAAAGAAGACGGGGACAGCAAAGGATGAGATGGTTAGACAGTGTCATAGAGGCAACGAACATGAAAGTTCAGAGGATGGCGGAAGACAGGAAGGCCTGGCGTGATCTGGACTCGACTGTACGACTGAACAACAACAAGAGGGGAACATGTGAGGACTAATAGAGTAGGGGAAATCACTCCCCCCCACACACTTCAGCTCCACTTCCCTTCCCACCTTTCTGTTGGATCTGGCTCTTCCGCCTGGTTACAGCTCTGCTTCTCTCCCTCCATTACCACCTCTACCACCGCCACTTCCTTTACCTTATTGTGGTACCACAGCATTGGCTGCCACTTTGAGTTGCTACAGGAACCCAGTATGCTACCCAAACTCTTGACTCTTTGGTTTGTACAACGTCAATAGTTTTCAGTTGGCCCTTGCACAAATGGAAATTTTTGTGAAGGAGGACGCACACACCATAGCTGAAGCAATCCAGTGTGCACAGAACTCGCATAGGGTCATAGCCTCTGTTTTTAATGTGTTGTCTGCCTTGCATAGACATTGTTCTTAACATTTTTGTTTTACCATCACGTTACATTTTTTTAAAGTAAAGCTGATTGTTCTATAAACCTTGGGCTTTCCTGGTTTCACAGAACTCTAAACTATAGCTGTGGTTTGCTACACAGTACAGATTCTTTTCATCTGCACAGGGGGCCAATGCTTGGCTATGAGAGATAATTTTTTTCGTTTCAAAATACTTATGTCTAAATTTTTTTGGCTTGAGTGCAGGTTTATATCATTGTATAAATAATAATAATCTTTGTACAACTGTTGCAGAGGCTGACATTTGCAAATCATCTGGAGGAGAATGAAATTGATGAAGTGCATAGAGATTACCGTAAGTAACATGATAATTTCATTTATATATTCTTAAAAAAACAAGTCCTACCTTAGGAAATGTGCAGATGCAAAATGGAAGGACATTAAATTGTTTGTCTTCTGTCCCCCAACTCTCATGGTTTATGTTTTCATATCTGGCAAGTCAATGTGAAGGGGGGGGATCTATAATAACAAAAGGGTCCATCTATCTGTTTGCGGCAGCCATAACTTCTCAGAAAAGAAAGACAAGAATCTCAGAATTGCCCTACTGCTTCAAGATGAATGTGAGAGTTGCAGTGCTAAAAATGAAGGGGATCAGAACATACTGGCCTAGATTAGCTCCAGACGTGACCCCTGCAGCTGTTTGCAGTGGAAGCTAATGCTCTCTGTGGAAGGCATAACAACTAAAGCTAGGCATTTCAAAATTGGCTACCAGCTTCAGAAGGCTTATTGTGGTTGCAGTGCTAAGAAAGAATGGAATTGGAACATCCTGACACAGATTAGCTCCCTACTGTAACAATGTATGTGGAACTGAGTGAATGAGGAAAGTAGATGGGGGGAAAACTCAGGGTCACAGTGGAAGAGAGAGATTGAGTGAACATCTACAGGAAGTAATTCAGCAGGAGCAGCAGGATAGTTAATAAAGACCTGTACTGTTATTATGGTCTGACTCTCAACTATATATTACCTCACATGAAACACTATCACTAAGCAATTTGCAGTGGAAAACTAAGGTTTACTCATGAGAAGTGAGGAAGGTGGACACAGCACAGACAGGAAGGGTGGAACATATCCTTTCCATTACAAACCAAAGGGGGTTTAGCAACTTCCCTGACCAGTCAGAACGAAGTAGCTTGGTGTAGTGGTTAGCGTGTCTGACTAGGATCTAGGAGACCCACATTCAAATCCCACCTCTTCTGCAGAGCATCCTGGGTGATCTTGGACAAGTCACACCCTCTCAGTCTAACTTACCTCATAGGGTGATTATTGTAAGGATAAAATGGGACACGAGAACAGCGTGAGCTGCTTTGGATCCACACTGCAGAGGAAGGAGGAATGGACAGGTGGGGTGGGAAATATTCTCTCCTTTACAGAACAAAGAGGAAGGAATTCTGTAAGCCACTTTGGGACCCCATTGGGGAGAAAGGCAGTTATTATAGATCTAATTTTGGGTATTTGGGTTTTCAAAAACCAATGATTGCTCTTGCTGCTGCTTCATCAGCCATTGGCAGGCAGCAGAACTGCTCATTCAGTATTCAGACTGCAAACAAATATTGCGAGCACAGTGGCCTCTGTGGTTGGTGAGTGGCGTGAGCAGGGACAGGCCCTTAACTGAGTGTAGAAGAACCTCTGGAAAGAGGAGTGGTGCCAATATTTTCTTGATGTACACTAGCACTAACAATTCTGTTCAAGAGGCAAATAGGGTCCTGCCTTTTTTTGAATGAAGAAGGTTGGACGTTAGCAGGATGGTGCTCTGTTCTTCAAGTTTTGCTTTGATGTAGGTTGGACTCAGCATAAGCATATGTTTGAAATGTCACTCTCAATGGCTTTGTTATTATATTGATTGAGACTTGTGGTTGATTAAAAAATCAGGATACGAAATCCTAGAACTGCACATCAGATAATGCTTAGTATAAACCTTTATAACACCATTAGTCTGCAGTCCCACACACTAAATAATCCACTTTCAATGCACTTTACAACTGGATTTTACTGTGTGAACTGGCAAAATCCAGATGGAAAGCGTACTGAAAGTGGATTGAAAGTGGATTATTTAGTGTGCGTGACCGCAGCCTCACTGTACATTTCACATGCTGCTCTGACTGTCTCAGTACAGGACTGCTGGATGCCCATTTCTTCCTGTGAGTTATTAGTTAAGATTTCTCAGGACAGCAGCAGGATGGTTATAAAAAACTGCATGACAGAATCTACTGAGCATTGCATTGCATGGGCCATTCTTGAATTTCTGGCTTGGTTTTGTCGGTTATATTGATTTCATGAATTGTGAAAACATTGCTGTGCTTTGAACAAATATAGTCCCTCCTCCCAGTTAGAGGGCCAATTTTTCTAAGGCATACATCTCAGTAGTTCCTCTTTTTAAAAGTTGATTTTTAAAACATTCCATTTAATATTATTTTGAACCCTAAGCTTTGTTTTGAAGTAGTCTGATTTCTCAAATTGCTCAAGAATGCTGTATTTTTTGATAGTTTTATTTAACTTTTACAAAGTATATTCATACATATACTAATATTCAAATACATATAACATAAAAGAGTCTATTGCTTATTCTTTTTCTTTATCCATTTATATATCCTCGGCCCATCTTTCCTGAAATATTTTATCATCTTTTCCTTGCAATATTACACTCAGTTTATCCATTTCTGCCACTTCTAAAAGTTTCCCAGCTAATTCCTTTCTTGTTGGTATCTTGTTTCCAATACTTCACTATTAGGATTCTAGCTGCTGTAAGGATATGTCAGTACATATACATCATTTTCTTTGTATTCCTTGGGAATTATATTTAACAGATAAATCTCTGGACATGGTTTTAGATTAATATGCAACATCTCTGTTATTATACTACTTACATTTTCCCAAAATCTATAGATTTTTCCACATTTCCACCACATGTGGAAGAAAGTCCCTACATTCGCTTTACATCTCTAACAGTTTTTATTTGGTGTTTTGTACGCTTTTGCTATCTTTTCTGGAGTCCAATACCACCTATGAAACATTTTAAATATATTTTCTTTAAACTTTACCACTCACATTAGTTTCATTGTTTTCCATATTTTTTTGCCAATCATCAGTTTGTATGGTCTTTCCCAAATCTTTCATCCATATAATCATAAAGTTCTTAATAGTTTCATCGTATAAATATTCATCCAGCAAAAAGTTATAGATTTTTTGAATTCATTTGTCATTGGAGGAGAGCCAAATTTTGTCAAGTTCAGATTTGAATTTTAAGAATTCCACTGTTTTGTCTTTGTTATATCTATCTTGCAATTGTATTTGTTCCCACCATGTAAGGTGGATATTTTTTTCTTTTAAATTTTCTACTGATCTTAGTTTGTTATTTTTGTCAAGCAATATATCATATGGCATAGCTTTTCCCCTTGACATTAATTTAGGGTTTATAAACGCTTCTAAAGGTGACACCCATCATGGGATTTTTATATCGTGGCTATCTTTTATTTCCTTCCATATTTTAATTAGTGCTGTTCTAATAATATGATTGCGAAAGTTAGCATGAATTTTATCTTTCTCGTACCCTAGTAGGGCTGCCAAATCCCCCCCAGGGGGCAGAAACCCCCCTGCCTCAGAGGCCCGTTCCCCGACGCCGGGGAATCGGGCCCCGGGGGGAACCCCGCTTCAGCGTGCACGTCACAGAGAAGTGACGTTATGACGCCGGGCACGCTAGGGGCGGGGCCACGGCCATACAAGGGAAAACTCTATTGTAGCCTTGACTGCAATCTCCTAGGATCTCATAAACATCCTATAAGATGCTCTTGTAGCCTCGTCGCGAGTTCGGCGCCACCGTCTCTCCAACCGTCTGAGCTCCTGTTTCATAAGCCGCAACCCCTGGGTATACCGGGGGCCAGCTTAGAGCGAGGGCGCAGAGGGCGCCGGGGAGCGATCACGTCGATGGCCGTAGAAAGTCGGCTATGCCAGTCATCCACAAGCTCATCCAGCGAACCACCAGGGGGCATCGGATCCCGCAGAGCCATCTGAAGCTGCACTGGGTCCATTAGGCTCTGTGGGCAAGCTAAAATCCACTTGCCGCCTAAACAGGGTCGGGGCGGGACATTTGCACGAGCCTTCAGGGTGTGGTGGTCCAACCATGGCACTGCCAAGGCAATAATCCGGTCCACCATAATCCCCGTCACGAAGATTAAATCGAGCATGTGCCCAGCCTAATGTGTGGGGGTCGATACCCATTGGGAGAGTCCTAATGACGCTATGGACATCACCAGGTCCGTAGTCTGACTAGAGGCCGCGTCATCGGCATGGACATTGAAGTCACCCAAGACTAAAAGCCTAGGGTGCTCTAGCGCACAGCCTGATACGGCCTCCAGTAGTGACGGCAGACTACTGGCCGGTGCGTTAGGCCGACAGGTCACCAGCCAGATTGCCAAACTCTCCTCGGCCTCCAGCACCAGACCAACACACTCTAAGCCCTCAATCTCCATCGTAGGGAGCGCCCTGAAGGAGTAAGCCTCTCGTACAAATATCGCCACTCCTCCCCCCCGCCCCCAGTCTGTGATTGGTGTAGGACTGAAAACTCAGGTGGGGCAAGCTGGGAGAGAGCTGCAGTCTCCCAATCCCGCACCCAGGTCTCAGTCACGCAAGCCAGGTCAGCCTGTTGTTCCATAATAAAGTCCCTAAGGACCGTTGTTTTATTGTTAATATATTGTTAATAGACCTGGCATTACACAACACCAATGTCGGAGGGGGATTGCTAATCCTAGCCCCACTACTGTCATCCCTTGGGATGAGTTGCAGGCTGGAAGGGCGCCGAGCCCTTTTGTTTCTCAGCACCCTTCCCATACTCCATGGCCTGGACCCACCGCTATACTTTCCCCTCCCAAAGAGCACCGGAATCTGTTGTATTGGCATTGCTACCTTGGCCGGTCCACGCTGGGTCTATAGTTTTGTATTTCTTTCTCTTCTGAGTCAGGTTTATGTATCAGCGATATCAGAGCATCCTCCCAAGATTTTTCCCTGTACTTTCCTCATGGCCCTCTGCATATTCCCCTTCTTCTTCCTCCTCTTCTTCTTCCTCTTCTTCTCTTTGCCAACCTAGATTTTCTCCTTCATTATCTAATTTTTTTTTCTAATTTAAAGATAGAATTTATTCTTTGTCTTTTGCCTTTCTAAGAAAATAGTATTTCTTCTGGAATAAGCCATCTGAACATGATTCCATTTTCTTTTAAGAGATTTGTTAGGATATTGTAATTTATTCTTTTTCCCCTGACTCTCCAGGGGATATCTTTTAATATCCTTATCTCTTTTTCTTCT